TAGGGGTTAGAGTTTTGGGTTAGGGGTTAGGGGTATGGTTCGATTTGAAAATTGTCACGTAGGAGGTCGAAATAGTGGCCGACAATCTGAAGTTTGCGGAAGTGGCGTCACTGAAACTCTGCCAAATATGACGCCGTAGTTATCTATAATCGCGCACAGTCGCATGCACGCGCAAACAGTCGACGGACGGTGGATGCTACTGACACGGACAATTCGCCAGCGACTGGGCACCAGCCGCCCGCTATTGACGTCATATGTGGCAGAGTTTCAGTGGCGCCACTCCCACAAGCATCAGATTGTCAGCCACTATTTCTACCTCCTACGTGAAAATCTTCACATCTAACCATACCCCTAACCCTAACCCTAATCCCTAACCCTAAAACCTAACCCTAACCCTAAACCCTAATCCTAACCCCTAAACCCTAACCCTAAACCCTAACCCTAACCCTAAACCCTAACCCTAACCCTAAACCCTAACCCTACCCCTCATATTACGCAAATAACCAGCCTACACGCAATAAGCAGCCCTACACGCAACCGTAGGATGATAGGTAACCCTAGACGCAACAGTACGCAACCCTACATGCACCCGGATGATGATAGGTAAGTATGTCATTTGATTCGTGACTTTTTCCGCTCGTTGTTGTGAGTGCGGCCACGGGGACGTAACTCCCACTAAGCCCCGCTAAGCCGGCCGAAGCAGTCCAGCTTACCGGCCAAATTTGAAAGTAGAGCCCAATCTCACAAACATTAAGAAAGAAAATAGCAGTTTTTGAGCTGAAATGCCATAGACAGATATTTAGAATACGATGGATCATACAAAAACTAATCAGTGATATTTCACAGCTATAAGCATCAAGAAAGATTGGTAAACAAACAACATCTTGTCATTGCATCTAAAATAGTTTTGCTTTATCAACCGCCACAGAGTAGACTGGAAAAAACCGTCGTAGAGTGAATGGTACTGGGTAAGAAAAGCAGTGGCAGACAGGCACCTGATATAAATAGTAACAGGTGCATCAGACGCGAGAGCTGGCGAGGGAACGTTTGTCCCCCTCTTTATAGGAGCAACGTTCAGTAAAAAAGATGTCACATGATGATAATTATGATGTTGTGTAAACATTTTATCAACGTCTTAGCTTTTTACTCAACAACAGTTCTACTAATACATTTTTATACTTCTAGTGAAGCTTTTTAATCTCAACCTTGTCAGTGGCGTCACAATCGTAACAGATGACAGGATGGAGGACATTAACCTGATTCCGATACTGAAGGATGCATAACCGACATGACAGGATGTATCTCTGACCATCATGCCCCTTGCACGACTGGGCACCAAACGAGGTTTCCGTCGTGTGCAAACATAATACAGATCATATGATGGTGATACTTGACAGAAAATTCAAGATAAGTTATCAAGCAAGAAAGAAATGTCATAAAAGTGACATTATCAAATGGAAAGAACTAGAGTGTGCGGAAAATAGGCGAGCATTTCTGCAAAAATTACAGGAAAATTATGAACAGCTTCCACAAAACAAACTTGGCGTAAATACAGAATGGTTGAATTTAAGAGACACTATTATGAAAATAGCACAGGAATTATGTGGAACTAAAAGGAAAGGTAACATAGAGCGTAAGCTCTCAACATGGTGGTCTGAAGAAATAAGACGAATTGTGGGCAATAAACAAAAAGCCTGTGGCATTTGGCTGAGGAGCAGAACAGAAGAGGATACATTACAGGATAATTAGAAGAGAAGTTAATAGAAATACGAGACAAGCAGAGACTCGTGGGACAAGTTTGGAGGCAAGCTGGCTGAAGAAGAAAGAACAGCAGTGAAAAACTACTACAGGAATATGCTGTAGAAATGTATTGGGGAAAAAGGGAATCAGTAGTCATCTCAATATTTGCAAAAGCCTGTACACACGTAGTAAACCCTACATAAGATCTAAGGCAGGATTGTCAAGAACTTTTATAGTGAACTCTTGTGTGCGACAAAGCTACTATCGCCGCTTCATTTTATAACATACATGGACACCATATGTTACAGAACTACTATTCGCGGACGACCAGGTACTCGTAGAGAAAAGTAGGGAATGCCTACAGAACCACCTAAATCAAATACTTAACAAAGGGTAGGAATATAGTATGAAAATCAATACGTAGACAGAGACAATGGTGATAGGAAGACAGAAAAATAATTTAGAAATAACATTAAAACACAAAACAGATGCATTTAAAAGTATTTGGAAGCGATTTTGAGATCCGGCCTAAAACTGGACAGATAAATTAGCTCAAGATTTGCCAAAGCTAATCAAGTAATGAGGCAACTATCTCCCCTGTTGACACACAAGCATATGCCCCAGAGTACTAAAGTGAACCTTATAACTATTATTTTTTAGCCTACACTATCCTATCAATGCCAAACGTGGACACTTACATCCTCCATTGAACGTAAAATTGTGGCAACAGAGATGGCATGCCTCAGAAGAGTTGCAGGAGTTTCAAGGAAAGACAGAATACGAAATTACGAAATCAGACGAATGCTACTAAAAAAGGCAGTCTTACAGGTTATCAAAGAACAACAAATAATGTGATTTGAACTCCTAACAAGAATACCCTGGTACTATCTGCCACAGCGAGCCACACTAAAACGTTACAACGAGTATAGAATGGAAACTGTGGCTGTAACAAGGGCTTTAGCATGGCTTGGTACTCAAAAGTTCACACACGTTTGCTTTTTTAGCGACTCGATGAATATGCTTAAAAAATCCAAGCTGGATTTATCAGGCAAGATTGGATTGAAACACTAAGCACTTCACGAATATCTGCCCTAACCTTCATCTTTGTGACAGGTCATGCGGGTGTTCAAGGAAACGAGCGTGCAGGCTATCTTGCTGACACTGCAGTTGCTATGGCTGGCCCAGTACTGGACAGAAGTGATGTTATCAATGCTAAGCGCTGCACTTACTGTACCGAGGAACACGCCAAAGGACTTGACTCTATACCCCTGTCTAGACTGATTGACATGAGGTTGCAGCCTGGAGCTGCAAGAAATAAACATTTCACTAAGAGGACAAGACATTTCATTAACCAACACAAACAGGCGTCATCAGTCGTTTTACACTTGTGGAGCTTTTGAGGAGGAGATCGGAGCACCTATGGATCTGTCCGGAGTGCTGTGATGTAATCTTTTTTAATCACTAATCACTAAAAAGGATAGAGCGAGTGAAAGACCTAGAAAAATAAGGAGTGATGACATTAAGAATAGCCTTCTAAAAATAAACATCAATCCTAATAGTGCTCTTGACAGAGCTCATCAACGAACGTTACATCTCGCCCTGACACTTCGATTAGGTTCAAGGTGGAAGAGAAGAAGAAGAATAAGCAGATATGCTGTGTGCAAAGGGTCAAACACACTGAGTTGAGTTGAGCTAAGTTGAGCTGAGTCAAGAATGGATATCACATGCATTCGGAGCATTTCAATGCGTGTTCAGTCCTCATTTTTTAGCAGCTAAGAGTTATGAGCTGGTTGTTCCTGGTTCACAAGTGCTCAGATGTTCCGGTCAACAGACTAATACTGGCAGTTCTACATTTTCTGTTACGTCTGCTTCTTGGCCTAGTTGATAGATTAGCTGATATCGCTTCTCTCGGCAACGAACTCATTAGTAATTAGTGATTAGTAAGGATTATCATAACTGCACTCCCGACAGGTGCTCCGATTTTCTCCTTAAAAGCTCCACAAGTGTAAAACAACTAATGACGCCTGTTCTGTCTTGATTAATGACATGTTCACTTCTCGCAGCTTTAGACTGCAACGCTATGTCCATCAGCCTAGCCAAGGATACGGAGTCATACCCTTTGGCGTGCTCATCGTCAGGGTAGCTGCTGTGCATGGCATTGATAACATCGCTTCTGTTCAGTACTGGGCACGCATTTTCATCAAAATAATCTGCACGCTTGATGACATTAGAGAGCTTTTACATCGTCACGTAATAATAACCGTTGCTTGCCACCAAGCAAGGGATCGCAAAATGTTCCTCCTCACAACGTTTAACGGTAGAAGTGGAACTTCATGAAGATGATTGATGTTCGCATTAGAAGGAGAAAGCGAAGAAAACACAGATCGCACCGGCAGTGAACTCATCTTCATCATCATCATCATCATCATCATCATCATCATCAATGACATCATTATCATCATTGTCATCATCATCATCATCATCAATTAACACAGGGATGTCAGAGATTCGACTTGAAGAGTGAATGTGAGGCTTCCCAGGGTTCTCACTGGTGCGCACCATTCAGTCACCAAGAAGAACATACCGGCCATGTTTGGAGATGTGTACGGGCCGGACGTGCCGGCTGTTGTGTCTTCTCTCACTGACATGCTTGCATTAGGGAGCAGTTGGCTAGACAGACACCTTTGCTAGGTAATTACCTGTTCGTGTCTTATTTCTGTATATATTGTCGGTTATCCCAGCACGTGAGTTAATTGACTCCAGAACACAGGATTTCAGTGAAAAAGTATACAACTTTGTGTGCGTGTTACAGCCGGTGTCTCCGCATGTTATAGCCCTGCTTAATAAGATAAAAGGCACTCAAAAAAGGGGTGGGGTGTATTGGGGGTCGGGGGGGGGGGGTTACGGTGGGGGTGGGGGGGGGTGGGGTGATCCATGAGTCCTTAACATGCATGTCGTAAGAAGTGTCTAATTAATGCTATGCTGAAATCGGATGTTTTTAACCGAAAGATGAAGGAAGAGGAACAAGAAGAGGAAACGAAACCACGACGTTCAGCGCGCGATGCAAACGCGGTTAGATTATCACAATCTGGATCAGGCAGTAAGAAGACTTAGTGACCGACCAAACAGTCATAAGAAAGGGATATGAGATAAATAATCAAACCGCTATTAGCACTGAATGGGAACTCTTGTCTAGCTACTGGAGACGGGCGGACTGATCTCTTATCTAAGTGACCTGCGTTTTGTGATATCAGCTCAAATCAAAACTCGATGGATGAAGGGGTTAACAGACAATCGGGTGTATATACGCACCACATCCATACACTGCCGACTGTTCTTTAGAAGCGTATCTCTGGCAGCAAATGTATGTTGCTCTAGTGGTGTCAAAGCAATGTTTACTTATTACTCACTTACATGAACACGACTGAGTCACTATGTATTCTCATTTGGTTGTAGATACGTGGTAAAGAGCCCGGGTACATAAGTTAGAAAATACGTGGTAAAGAGCCCGGGTACATAAGTTAGAAAATACGTGGTAAAGAGCCCGGGTACATAAGTTAGAAAATACGTGGTAAAGAGCCCGGGTACATAAGTTAGAAAAGCAAAACCAAAGAGACTTTACAACAATATGATGAGACAATAGTCGAAGCCGCAAGTAAATTAAAAGCCTGAACCGTGGATACGATCACGGTGATGATGATGATGATGATTATAATGATGAAGAAGAAGAACAGGATGAAGAAGAAGAGGAAGAAGAAGATGAAGAAGAAGAAGAAGAAGTAGAAGAACATAATCATCAATTATACACATTCTATTCATCAATCTGTTGAAATTAATGTGGTTGTTTTACTTCGCAGTTATTGTTATATACTGATGACAACAGAGATATTTCATCTTGTGTGTATACTGCTTTTGAATCACGGCAGTTACTGTAAGTAGAACCAGTCTATCTATCTATCTACCTATCTATCTATCTATCTATCTATCTATCTATCTATCTATCTATCTATCTATCTATCTATCTATCTATCTATCTATCTATCTATCTATCTATCTATCTATCTATCTATCTATCTATCTATCTATCTATCTATCTATCTATCTATCTATCTATCTATCTATCTATCTATCTATCTATCTATCTATCTATCTATCTATCTATCTATCTATCTATCTATCTATCTATCTATCTATCTATCTATCTATCTATCTATCTATCTATCTATCTGTCTATCTGTCTATCTGTCTATCTGTCTATCTATCTATCTATCTATCTATCTATCTATCTATCTATCTATCTATCTATCTATCTATCTATCTATCTATCTATCTATCTGATCTATCTATCTATCTATCTATCTATCTATCTATCTATATCTATCTATCTATCTATCTATCTATCTATCTATCTATCTATCTATCTATCTATCTATCTATCTATCTATCTATCTGTCTGTCTGTCTGTCTGTCTGTCTGTCTGTCTGTCTGTCTGTCTGTCTGTCTGTCTGTCTGTCTGTCTGTCTGTCTGTCTGTCTGTCTGTCTGTCTGTCTGTCTGTCTGTCTGTCTGTCTGTCTGTCTGTCTGTCTGTCTGTCCGTCTGTCTGTCGGTCGGTCAGTCGGACCATCCGTCCGTTCGTCCGTCCATCAGTCAGTTGGTCGGTTGGTCGGTCCTCTGTCCTTTCGTTGGTCGGTCAGTCGGTCGTTTGGTCGGTCCATCCTTCAGTCCGTTGGTCGGTCCGTGCGTCGGTAGGTCGGTCGGTCGGGCCGTCGGTCTGTCGATCGGTCGGTTAGTCGGTTGGTCGGTCGGTCCGTCCGTGCTTCCGTTGGTCGGTCAGTCGGTCGTTCGGTCGGTTCGTCCTTCCGTCAGTCGGTCGGTCGGTCTGGGCGTCGGTCTGTCGATCGGTCGTTCAGTCGGTCGGTCGGTCCGTCCGTGCTTCCGTTGGTCGGTCAGTCGGTCGTTCGGCCGGTCCGTCCTTCCGTCCGTGAGTCGGTCGGTCCGTGCATCGGTAGGGCGGTCAATCTGTCAGTCGGTCGGTAGGTCGGTCGTTCAGTCGTTCGGTCAGTCCGTCTGTCGGTCGGTCGGTCGGTCGGTCCGTGTGTTGGTAGGTCAGTCGGTCGGTCGGTCGGTCGGTCGGCTGGTTGGTCGGTCGGCTGGTCGGTCGGTCAGTGGGTCGGTCCGTGCGTCGGTCGGTCTGTCAGTGGGTCGGTCCGTGCGTCGGTAGGTCGGTTGGTCAGTTGGTCGATCCGTACGTCGGTAGGTCGGTCGGTCAGTCGGTCGGTCGGTCGGTCATGAATATGCATGTTGACATCCTGAGCAACAGCATATAAAAAGGACCAGGCGACCTAAGCCACGAGTTTGAGGCACCCTGGGTTTGATATTAATTAAAACCAAATGCGCCAACCATTAGATTTTGATACCTAACATTAGCATATCCACCTTCGATTCGTCATCAGCAATCGACGATGGGGAGATCATCAGAGGCTGTTTCTTCAACAGTGACTCGAGACTGAGGACGAACGAAGCCAAGTTTTCCGTCGCAGATATCGACTTCACTCTGTGTACACACTACGTCTATGGCTATGCTAAAGTGGATCCTGTAGGAAAGACTATAAAAGCTGCAGGAGGAGCTGAAGAAGATGGTCCCGATGGCTTGTTCAGGTAAGGGAAATCAACAATTTTCTGTCAATATAGCGTCATCACGGTTATCATCTAGTGTAGTGCAGTAGTGACTGGTGTTAGAGCCACGTCATGTTTCCCTACACCTGTTATTTCCTAATCTTCATCGTCATCATGTGCCATCCTAAACAATCAGCAGATCACAGTTTAGATCACTGCGCTTGTGCCATCCTATTGTTCATTGCTTAGTTTACAAATAATCTTTATCGCGCATCGGACATAATCATAAGTCCTTCGATCCTCTCATGAGTTTGTCTCCAATTGTTTTTATTTTTTTAGGCTAAAAACTCCCGTTCTATTCAAACTGATGTAACAACAGGAGGCTCTCTCATGGCTTTCATGTTTTGTAGCTCCAACTGGTACACTTAGGGTATGCAGTCTATTCAGTGGAAAATCATTTTCAACAAAACTAAATGCTTTATATCGTTCAGTCTCTCGGATGGCATTGATGAGGTCTCTACCTTTATAGATGGACCATTTTCTGATGTTTGCAATGTCAGCCAAGGCATCTGCTCTTAACAGACTTTCACACCAGTATACCTGGTACAAAAATCAAGAGTCACTGAGCAAAACAGGCACAGGCGAATTCTAGAGTTCTCAATCATTCTAGGACCTGTGTCACCTGATCATGCAACTAGTAATAAAGGCAAAGGCTTAACTATCTTTTTTTTATGACTTCGCCTTTGGTTCTTGCCGTGAAAGCCCTTGCCCTTCGCTTCTGACGAATTTCTTCTTCTTCTTCTTCTTCTTCTTCTTCTTGTTGTTCACCAGCTGTGAATTCCGGCGGTAAGTCGCGGTTGTTCGTCCAAATGGACTTTTGGCTTTTACCTTGACCTGAGTTTTTCGTGTACATCCGTTTTAATGGCTTATTTGTTTGCAGTTCTCGTTTCCCGCCTCTCCGGCAGATTTACTCCGACTTCGAGGGAAGACGTCAAGCCTATTTCTAGATTGACTGTGGCCATTGTTTAGTTAGTTAGTTAGTTAGTTAGTTAGTTGGGTTATCCTCATTGCACTCCGGACATGTCCATAGGTGCTCAGATCCTCCCCTCAGCATGAACCCCGACGTCCGATGGCTAATAGTACCAGTTCTATGTTGATTAACAAGTCTTCTGGCGTAGCTGGTGTGCGTCTCGTTTTTTGCTGTGGGTCGAGATGTTGCCTCATTTGTGTGGTGTCCTCTTTGACCTTTAACAGGTGTAGCACCCGGAATATCGTCCTTAAGGCAGCTCTAGGTAGAATTGTCAGCCCTCAAGGGAAGGCAGGGGCAGATCATGGGCATTCCCCGCCATCCAAGGAGGCTTCCATAAATGCAGAGCCGACACATGATGCTCTGGTTCTGGGCTCACCCAAGGAATCGTCACGTCCTGCCCATGACTGCTTAACTTCACAACCGTGTATTGAGCTTCCCGCGCTACAAGGCTGCGCTCTCCGGAGATCAGCGGGGAGCATCCCGCAGGTCCAGGAATTTTGTGGCCACACAAATAGGTACATTTTTTTTCATCGTACGTTAGACACCTTTAACGTTGTTTCAGCTGTGCCCTTAGCACGACAGAATGGGGAAGCAAAATGCGTCAGGCGTGGCTTCACCTGCTTGGTCCCAACACTCGGGCGAGTTGGACCAGTGGATACGGACATTTGGACTTTTCCTAATCGGTACGAATTACGATCGTCGGACTTTGAGCTTGCATGTGTGCCGTGGGGTATAACTTTGTCGGACATTATTTCCTAGCCAGCATATGAAAAGTTGCTGCCGTGGTGTACCTCAGCGCGGTGGCGACGACACTGAGGATTGACAGAGGATGTACGTAGGTAGGATCTTGCTGCAAGAAGTCGCCCACAAGAGATGTTACTCGTCTTGGCTGCGGGTAAATCTCTCTGTCAGGGTTGAGTCTCAGCAGCACAGTTTTCCATTCGCTCCCGAATTTTAACCGAGAGTTGGTACATTTAGCAAGCAATCCTTGAGTTTTGTTAGACTTTTCACCCATGCGTTTGGGGGCGGGCTGGTCAGAGCCAGAGAGGACACTACACCTCTAGGGGGCCGCCAGCTTCGAGATCCCCTGCCAACTCTTTTAATGCTCATTTGAGACATTATCCGTGGCGCACGACGGGGACGTGCAGCAGGAGTCTTGCATGAGGTTCCGTAAAACCAGAACAGTGAAGAACTGGCGCCCGAGTGGGGTACGGAGTATTTCCTTTTACACATCAGACTTAACTTTGCCTCATGCCTGTGACCGAAATCACTGAGCCACGCTTCTGACGAATCAAAGAACTATCTGTATATATAACGAGATTTTCCGGTAACGTGTGTTCCTTCACTAATGCTTTCACTTCTGTGTGAACTACTAGTGGCGCCAAATCACCGCATTGTCTTGTCAGAGTGATAACTATCACAAGGTAATGGTTGTATTATTTTGGTCTGGGTATCGATTCCTCTCCATGGGTTATCTCATGAAGGGAGATCACCCGTTAAAGTACTGACTGTGTTTGGCCCAGCCAAGACTGACTTGGTTTCAATCTGTTGGCTTGACGTGTATTTAATACATCATGCTATGTGTGTGTGTGTGTGTGTGTGTGTGTGTGTGTGTGTGAGTGTGTGTGTGGGTGTGTGCGTGCGTGCGTGCGTGAGCGTGCGGTTTGTGTGTTTGTGTGTGTGTGTGTACACGTGGTCCTTGATATGTGGCAAAGCCAGCAAGGTATTTATCTCTTTGCCATCCTACTGTAGGGAGTCGCCGTGGCCGAATGGCTAGACGCGTGCGTGCAGATCAGAAGGTCGTGGTTCGCTCCCTGGCGAAGCCGAACTTTTTTCAAAAATTACTTTGATTCCCAGATCGACCCAGCCTTGAGTGGATACCAGGTGCAGTCACGGGAAGTAAAGTCTGGCATAATACTGACCACATCACCTATCTTGTGCCGGTTGGTCTATAAAAATATAGGTCTAGCCCTATATGCCCTATACGCCTAAAGGCGTGGAAAAGGAACCTTTACAGACCCGCTGTAGTCTTCCTTTAAAGGGGACAATTGTCACTAAGTTCTCGAGTATTTCTTCCTTGGAAATATACTTTCTGGCTGTCCCCCGAACAACGGGCACAAAAGATGGAGGCCGCAAAATATCCTTTCGAGCCTCAATCACGTGTCATCTGCGCACTTCCAGCGACCTAATTTGCGGTTTTCCGCCGGTTTTCCGGCGACTACCACCACCGCCATGAGTCCCAAACGCCACTCACGCGACGTGGAATGGAACTAAACTAGATGGCTAGGACCCACGAGCAGCAGCTTCCGCATCTCCATCCCCTCTGTCCCACCCCATGTGAACATCGCAACGTACACAGTGACAACAGTACGACCGAGACA